ATTTTGTTATTTTATAAGCATTCATGCCCCCTCAGCTACTAGGAAAAAACATCATTTGTTTATCTATGGCAGTCGTATGTTATTGTATCCCATCGCTTCCTTAATGCAATATTTAAAAACATACTGTTGAACAATGATAATATTAAAATGAAGGCTGAAGTAAAAAATACATAACACTTCTTACCCTGTTAAGAGTCATGATATGACTTCTACAATGTATACCATAATTCTGAAAACAGGGACTTCTAGCCTTCTACTACATAGTGAATACATAGTTTTCTAGTGGGGGTGGGGGGAAGGAGTGATGTCTAAGGGATTTATAATCAATCTCCAGCAACACTTCGTGCAGTGTAACTTTTATTATCTCAACATTAAAATAATGAAACTGAGTCTTGGAAAGTTGGCATGACTTTCCTGAGCTCATACTAGTAAATGAGGGGGTGAGATGTAAAGAAAGCTCTGTTCAACTGTGGGTTCATCTCACGGTGTTGTGCTTCATATCGCTGTGGTTTGAAAGAATCTCACAAAGTTTTTATGTTAGAAACGTAATCTCCAGTGTAACAGTGCTGGGAGGTGGGGCCTGCAGAGAAGTGTATTGGTTGTGATTTCTCTGCCCTCATTAAAAAAATTAATGTCACTATGGCAGAGGTAGTTCATTGTAAAAGTGAATTTTGACCTCTCACTCTTTCTGACCTTTCTATCTTCTGCCATAGATGATGCAATAAAAGATTCTTGGAGATAACAACTCTCTGATCTTAAATTTCCCAGGTGTGTGTGTGTGTGTGTATGTGTGTGTGTGTGTGTGTGTGTGTGTGTGTGTGTGTGTGTGTGTGTTCATTTAAAATTACCTGGTCTAAAAAATTCTGTTATAAGAGCACAAAACAGACTGTAACAAGAGTGTCTTAATGAATTGAAGCCCCAGTCCCAGGCATAAACATAGGTTCTCATTGTCTTCAAACTCCTCATTGGCTGGGCATGATCAGGAACTCTGACAGCAGCTGTTGTTAGTCTCTCGGGCAGACTCCAGGAGGCTTCATAAGGAAGTATGTCATGTGCATGCCTTGGCAACTGGTTTGAGCCAATTTCCTGGACCCTATGGGTGTGTCCTACTACACATAAGGTCTTGATAGCATTGAATTTACAATCTTGCCCGATGTATAATGCTATTATGGAAACTATTTGTATATGACCTGACTCTTCCCTTGTTAATTATTCATTAGAAAATATATTAAACTATTCCTCTAGGAGATGATACTTTAGCCTGATGACAATAGACTTAGAACACATAACCAAGCAAACTCTTGAGTGCAAATAGCCCTTAGATTAAAAATATTGTGTGTAATCAATCAGAAGAGGTTTTAAATTCATCACAGGACTAGATCAACAAGCTGTCAAATGTTCACGCTGACTCAAGTATGAGAAGCTGTCAGTCTTTGGCTGACACCACTGCCAGTCTTCACAGAGTAATTTTCTCCAGGAACAATATCTGAAATACAGAAAGAAACCCGTGTCGTGGGGCAGAAGTGACATATGTGGGACAGTCTGGGTTAGGTGACCAGTAGGGTCCCTAGCTCTACAATATGGGGGGAACCTGAAGAAGAGCGAGGGTGAAGAATCTAGTGAAAGGCTGTGTCCAAATTGGACAAAGTAAATGATTTGTTGAACTTCTGTTTATCAGTGGGAAGGAAAATAAGAATAAAGAAAATTCAAACCCAACTGTGATTGGCTCCATTTGGTTTCCTGTTTTCCTTGCTGTCTGTGACTATAACTGTGGAAGATTAATTAGTTTTCTAAATTTAATATTGGACAGGGTTCTGGTAAACTGCAATATAATTTACTTGACATGCTTATAATTCATATTTATATGGCATATAATTATAAAATATTACAAAAACTTGGGGGGATTTCCTGACATTAAGTACCATTTTGGTAAGGGCTGGAGAGATGGCTGAGTGGGTAAGAGCCCTTGCTTCATAAGCATGAGGATCCGAGTTCAAATCACAGCATTTACGTGAAAAGTCAGACATGGTTACATATACCTATAACTCCAATTCTCCAGGAAGCAAAAATGGAAGGACAGTTGAGGTTTGCCGGCCACTAGCCAAGCCAAGAAAACATCAAGCTCCAAGATCAGTGAGAGACCCTTTCTCAAAGAAATAAAGCAGAGAGGTGACATAATAGGATACCTCCTGTGGTCTCTGAGCACACTGTGAGGTATTGTGCACACATACATGCACACACACACACACACACACACACACACACACACACACACACATACACACACACACATGAAAGAGAAACTTCAGGGTTTTTTAGCTGAATCTATAGCATAAAATATATGATGAGAAAATGGAGGGAATTGGAAGCAAAGCAGAAATTAATCAGTCTGTCATATTTCCCCAAATACGTCCGTGGATTTGGAGCAAACTTTTCATATAAGATCACTGACGTTTCTAAAAATGTTTGCAAGGAGTATATATAAGAACTGAAGGAGAGAGCCACCAAGATGGCTTGGCAGGTTCTTGCCACCAAGTCTATAAACCAGAGTTTGATCTCTGAAACTCACGTGGTGGAAGGAGAGAAGGGACTCCTCAAAGTTGCCCCCAATATGTGTGCCTTGACATGCATGTACACACACACACACACACACACACACACACACACACACACACACCAAATAAATGTAAAAACTAAAATTTTTGAAAAGTTAAAATAATAAATAAAATGGCAGAAAGAAAGAAAGAAAGAAAGAAAGAAAGAAAGAAAGAAAGAAAGAAAGAAAGAAAGAAAGAAAGAAAGAGGGAGGGAGGGAGGGAGGGAGGGAGGAAAGAAAGAAAGAAAGAAAGAAAGAAAGAAAGAAAGAAAGAAAGAAAGAAAGAAAGAAAGAAAGAAAGAAAGAAAGATGGATGGATGGATAAGTAGAAGATCCTGTGTTACTAAAAACACATACAAGGATTTTGTGATGGTGCTGATGGTGCCTGTGAGTTCTCTACATCTCAGACCATCTGACCCAAATTTCTCTCATGAGAGAATGGAAAACATGGGAAGAATGTGAGGGGAAAGAGCCTACTAGCCCTAGAATAGGATGTCTGAGAGCTACACTGAGCCAGCAATGAAAATCGAGACACATCCAATGGAAACTTAGCGTGAGGTCATTTATTTGAGAGTCTCCAAGAAACAAGAATGTCAGGAAGAACCATGTTGAAGAAATTTTGAAAGATCATAGATGCTATCATTTGAGAGAAACTTATAGATGCCATAGCACTGACAAAATAGACCAGTGTGGGAAACAAGCAGGATGATTAAGCCCAGAGGACAGACTCTCTGTCCTCTAGCATCAGCGTCACCTGAAAGCATGTCAGAAATGTGGATTTTAGAGCCCCACACCAGACTTACTGAATCACAAACTCCAAAGTTTGGACCCTGGAATCTGATTTAGCAAGGCTTCAGTGTGATTCTGAGAGCCATTGAAATTAGTAACTTCTGGTTTAGAATTTCTAGGAAGGATTTCCATTTCACTGCTTCTCTGGACTTGTCTTAGTTACCCTATACAGGTAACTGTTCCGTAGACATGGGACACCTTAGTTGCTCTTTACAGATGGGCATTATACAGATATGAGACAATTTCTCAGCTTTACAATGGACAGTCACTAATCCAGGTAGTAGGTATTTTTTGGCATTCAATTTGCTTAGCAGCAGTTGGCTTCGTGAATACCTGAAAATCAAAATTAAATTTTATACTGGTACCCAAACAGAGGCAGATAGTAAACATCACAACAAATACATGATTATTTATATCCTTATGAAATACTGAATGCAAAAATATTAAGATTTTAAATATTATCAGTCCAGTCCTAACAACAGAAACATTACCACTTTAAAGTAAATATATTTTAATATATACTTGTAAAATAGCAATTGTAAGTAAGAATAAAGTCTCAGATTCTTCTTCCTTCCTGTCCTTCCTTGAGAGCCAAGTGGTCACTAAAAGTTATGAAAGTCAAAGAAGGAGAGTAATGGGAAATAAAGAAACGTCTTGTAAAAAAAATATTACTAGTATCTGAATTGAGTACACTCCAATTACTTGTTCTTTGGTTCTTTTGGTCCTGGGATTCAAACCCAAGGCCTTACACATGCTAGGCAAGTGTTCTACCAATGAACTATATTTCAAGCCCTTATTTGGCTTCCAATTAAATTAAATCACAGACTGAAGCAACAATTATAAACTGTGGATGTATGGTCCTTCTTAAGCAGAAATGTAATATAATAAATACAAGGGTGATTTACAAAGAAAACAACATTACTGTCAGTATGGCAGTCATGAAAGGGTTGTTTGGTCATGTGTACCACTGTTATAATAGATAATTTAGGGTTATTTGACTCCTACTAATGTTATTTTGTCTTCTCAAACCAAATTAACTACCAAGTCCCCAAAGACTATGAACATTTTTCTAACTTTATAAAATGCTACATATAGTATTTTTTAGTTATTTCTCTCTATGTAGCCTCTATATCACAGCACAAAATGCATTACAAATATCAGTAATAATGTTCACAATGTGACCTTAAATTAAATATAAATATATTTATCATTTTTGAATACTGCCTTTAATGTTCTCATTCTACATTACAAAATACACAAGTATAAAACATTAACTTGCACTTTTAAACATAACTTCTGCTGTAGACAAAGAGAAAAACATAGGACTAATATAGTTTTTAAAAATAATTTCACTATCATGGGGATTTTATTGGATAATTGGATAGTTTACTCATAAAAAAATTGCTTTATGTGAGGCAATTTTAACAAATGTTTTGAAAGTTTCTATTTGTTACTGTTATCATTAGATTGCTTCAGGGAAAAAAATCTCCAATCTGAGCTCAAATTTTAATGTATAGAATTCTCTAGAAAATCATGCATGTATATTTTTAAGGTGATATAAAAAGAAAAGCACTTCAAATTTTGTCTGAACTATGCTTCCCCTCCTTTGTTACAGGTATTCATTTTTCAACTATATTAACCTCTGAAACAAAAAGAAATGGACTTTTTAAACTCATCAGATCAAAACTTGACCTCCGAGGAACTGTTAAATGGAATGCCATCCAAAATTCTAGTCTCCCTCACTCTGTCCGGGCTGGCACTGATGACAACCACTATCAACTCCCTCGTGATTGCTGCAATCATTGTGACTCGGAAGCTGCACCATCCAGCCAACTATTTAATTTGTTCCCTGGCAGTTACAGATTTTCTCGTAGCCGTCCTGGTGATGCCCTTCAGTATCGTGTACATTGTGAGAGAGAGCTGGATTATGGGACAAGTACTCTGTGACATTTGGCTGAGTGTTGACATTATCTGTTGTACGTGTTCCATCCTGCATCTGTCAGCTATCGCCTTGGATAGGTACCGCGCAATCACAGATGCTGTTGAATATGCCAGGAAGAGGACTCCCAAGCATGCTGGCATCATGATTACAATAGTGTGGGTTATATCTGTGTTCATCTCTATGCCTCCTCTCTTCTGGAGGCACCAAGGAACTAGCCGTGATGATGAATGCGTCATCAAGCATGACCACATTGTTTCCACAATTTACTCCACGTTTGGAGCTTTCTACATCCCACTTGTATTGATATTGATCCTCTACTACAAAATATACAGAGCAGCAAGGACACTATACCACAAGAGGCAAGCAAGTCGGATGATGAAGGAAGAGCTGAATGGCCAAGTCCTTTTGGAGAGCGGTGAGAAGAGCATTAAACTGGTCTCCACATCCTATGTGCTAGAAAAATCCTTATCGGATCCATCGACAGACTTTGAGAGAATTCACAGCACAGTGAAAAGTCCCCGGTCTGAGTTGAGGCATGAGAAATCATGGAGAAGACAGAAAATCTCAGGCACTAGAGAGCGCAAGGCAGCCACTACCCTGGGACTGATCCTGGGTGCATTTGTCATATGTTGGCTGCCTTTTTTTGTAAAAGAATTGGTTGTTAATGTCTGTGACAAATGTAAAATCTCTGAAGAAATGTCAAACTTTTTGACATGGCTTGGTTACCTGAATTCCCTTATAAATCCACTGATTTATACCATCTTCAATGAAGACTTCAAAAAAGCCTTCCAAAAACTTGTACGATGTCGATATTAGGTTAAAGAAGTCTATTTTTAAAGGGTGGAGGCTTTATTTATTTGGGGATGGGATAACTAAATGAATGTAAAGTAATAAAACATTTAAATTTTTAGAGAAAATATATTAAGACTGCTAAAATTGTAAGAGCATAAATTTATTTTTAATAGCACCAAGAAATAAGATTATTAATTTGACCATCATTCTAGTGTTATCAAAATTAGGAAATAATTTATGCAGCTTATAAATAATCTTTTGTCTATGCAATATACCTAAAAATATAACTGGAAAACTATATATACATACTATTAATTACAATGCTTTCCAGATTTATATCTTACAACAACTAGAGGAATTTTCAATTAACATAGTTGCCGGGTATTTGCCCACTAACCCCACAGTTCCCCAGAGTTTTCTTGAGTGAGAGCAGCAGGAAATATTAGATGGAAGGACTTAGAATGTGGAGATAAACAGATAGGAAATACAGGATAGCCTCGAGAGGGCCTGGAACCTACTCCAACGAGCCCTGACTGTCTCTGCCCTAAGGAATTTATAGAAATGCCAATGGGTGGAGCAAAAGACCTCCTCCCAGCACAGCCAAGTGCAGACCATCTCAGACACCTGCACTCAGGCCCGTAGTCGAATCATCCTCTCTATACAGACCTACTGGGTAAAGTCACTGGGAACCTGGAAATGGGTTCCCACACATAGTTCCATTGATAATTTTGCATCACCCCATTGCATAACTAATCATCCACAGAAGAAATATTATTCACTCTAATACCTCTCTTGTCTCTTCTCCATCTTATTCTTCGAAAAAATTGAAGAGAAGGCAACAGCAGATCTTATTTAGCCTGAATAGAGTAGATATGATGAAACTCAGTGGCTTTGACATTGTCCTCATATTTGGACAGCAAAAATAATCATACAGTGGGCTAAGTATGGCAAAATATTTCAATATCCTGAACTTCTGTACATTTGATATCCTTACTTTGTTTAATATCAGCTTCTAGAATAATATTATCTTAATCATATAATATCAATATTTGAAATCAAAGCCCCAGGGGGAAGGTTTATTATACAATTATTATATAATTGTTATATGCATTGTCCCTTGTTCAAAAATAAAACTTTAAACACTAAGTACCCTGAGTTACTCACTATAGCTGTCACACTTCTAAAACAAAATTTATTTCCTCTCTACTAATATTAGTAGCCCAGTTTTTACAGTTCTTCTCCATATCTTAGAATTTGATCATGACTCCCTTTTTATTGTAGAGAATATAATGGAAAATATTGAGTATTAAAACTTTGTTTGGACAACAAAAATCTGTTTTCCCTTTGTAATTAGGATATATTTTATAAATCAAGACCATCTGAAAAACACCATATACCACACCTCTTTAAATTGTCACTTTGTGTATATTATAAAATATGCTTCCCTTGTATAGTGTTTAAGAGTATAATACATCGCTTTTTATATATCTATGAGACATTACCCCTGGTTTAAAAAAATATCTAGAGGTGAGATTTTACATAAGGCAATGAGAGTTGTACTAGATAGAAGATACCGGAAATAATAAAATACAAATTCTTTCATCAATGTCTCTATTATCTAAAGGAAGAAACAACACAGAATTAAAACTATAATAGAAGATAATAAACAAGGATCTAGCAAGTGAGTTATTTACATAGTTGTGATGACGTCAAGACAAAGCTGATCACCTCTATTTGAAGAACACTGGGAAATTTTCATAAACAATGCATCTGAAATGTGTGTCAAATAAAGCAGCATTTGGGCATGAGCAAATGAAAGGACATAGTCCAGGTGGTGACAGCATAAAAAGTTCAGGCTTTGTCACGCAAGAATTATGGCCCACGCCATGAATTTGCTAGCCATTTAAGGCAACAAAGGAAATCAAAAGATTAAAGGAAAAATTGAACACTGTGAATGACTTTTAATGTCAAGAAAAGTAATGCACTGCCAATTTTCTTACTACCCTTGAGTTATCAATGAGGATTTTCAAAATATTACAGGCTTGGGGCAAACCTAACATAAAGGGGGTGGAGGGGGGGAGTTCTCTAGATACAAGAAGCAGAGAGAGTACTGGAGATATTGTCTTCAGTAGTCCAGGCAATGGGGGATGAAGTGCTGAACTTGATTCTGGTAATGGAAATAATAATCCATAGATTACAGCAAGTACAGCAATCAGACAGTAGGAGAAGCTGAGTGCCTAAGATCATCTTTACCTGAAATAAGGAAATTAACTGACAGGATCTGTTGGTAAATAACAACTTTTTCGAAAGTATACCAGTTCCAGATGTGCCCAAGCTCATAGGCACTACTGACCACTTCTGGCCTAATGAAAACCGACATATCAATGAGATTAGACTGTTCTCTGACCTCAGCACCTACAGGCAGTCGAGGTGCCCAGCCATGTCCTTTATCCTCACACCACTCCACCTTCACTCTCATGCCTTGTGTCTTCCCTATCATCCTCTGCTTTCTTCTTTTACTCTCTCCCTTGCCAAAATTTGATTCTGTGATTTATTCAAAGACCTTCCCGAAGTTATTTCTACACATATTAGAAACTTACATTGGGAAAACTTTTTACTTTTTTTAATACATTTATTTGAGACAGGGTTTCTCTGAGTAGCTCTGGTTGTCCTGGAACTCACTTTATAATCCAGACTGGCATCAAACTCAAAGATCAGCCTGCCTCTGCCACTCAAGTGCTGGAATTAAAGGCATGTGCCACCACCACCTGGAGGGAAAACTCTTAAGACACAAACCACCAACTATTTCAAGCAAAGTAAACCTAGGTACTTATACTGCCCTTGGATCTGAGTTAGACCAAATCTCAGATGTAAAAAAATAATGTCATAAGTGACAAAGAAGTTGCATCTATCTCCCTTCAGAGCTCAGGGGAAAATCAAATTCACTTTTTTTGTGTGTTGCAACCTCATCATTTAATCCAAAGGGGCTGCAACACAGTGCAGTATGAGTTCATCTACATTTGCCCCACATGCTGAGGTAAATCAAATTCACTTTTTTTGTGTTGCAACCTCATCATTTAATCCAAAGGGGCTGCAACACAGTGCAGTATGAGTTCATCTACATTTGCCTCACATGCTGAGGTTTCAGGCTTTGCCATCACTAATGAACATGCATCAATGATATATGTTCAATATCTTTAAATGGTGACAATGTAAGGGCGGTCCATCTCAAACACTTTTTTTGAAATGTATGCAGAACACATTACAGTTAACAAGACAGACTTCTCAGAATGTATTCACTTTATCCTTTGAATTAAAAGTTTCTAAGTAGCTAAAAACTGTCACAAAGGAAAAAATTAATGCAATATAGTGGTTCCTCTTTTATCTGATAAGACAGAAGGTGAAAACATAAATATCATCAAAGGTGTTTAAATATAAGATATGAAAATTCACTTCCTACTAGAATCTTACTATAGTGGCACTATAAAATCAATCAAAGCGTTTATTCTATTCTATTAAGTGATCTTCTAAAACTCTTCAAATAAAAGATGTATTAAAAGCAAAGACCAGACACAAAAGTCATAAGAAAGTTAAATGAGTGGATATTAAAATCAGTCTAATATGTCAGCACACACAGCTGCACATGGACTGTGTTTGAAATGTCATACGCTTGTGAAACATGAGCTTTCTTTCAAGTTTGTTTTAAGACTATGAACTGCCTGGGTCAATGTGTTTTGCTTTGTTTTGTTTCTTGGTCTTCTTTTATAAGACCTATCACCAATAACCAGTTAATGGAAGGTAATGAGCCCGTCTTTAAGAACAACCTCCCTTATGAATTTCCAAAGCCATTCTCACTTGACTTCACTAAGGATTTGATCCCCCAGCTCTCTGCACCCGGCCTGCATAGGGCAGGCATCTGCTTTGCTTACAACACTACATCAGTAACAAATACATCCCCTTGCCGTAGCCTGAACCCCATAGTCACACCCTCCATTTAACCTTGTGCCTTTTACCAAAAAGTTTTCATAGAAATAAGTGGGAAAGTAATTTAAATCCAATTGCTATGAAACAGGTTGAGTTGCTCCCCCAAATGCCATGAAGGCAGACATGATCATAAATTCATTACTGATAATCTGTGTCTTTGCTTCAAGTATGAAACCATTTTCTCATGAATTTATAGACTTTATTTATTTCTAGGTCAGAGAATCAGGTTTCCTAAGTTGTGCAGTAGAAACATGGAAGTTTTTTTTCTTTATATATCCCAAAGTCCTTCAAAAATAATTCTGTTTACTTTGAAATGCATCCCTATTAAAGCAGCTTGTTCCAGATATATGCTTCTAGTGTCTTCCTCATAACCAGAGTGATCGTGCTTAGACCCTCACCTTACCATAAAATGTTTCTAGAATCAAGTTAATATTTTTGTCACGAATAAAGTAAATCTTTTCTAATGACTTGTCTTGGTCTTTTTAATTAGTTGACTTTCTTCCACTATTTAAAATGAGGAACTTAGGACTGAGAGAAACATCACCTAACACTGCAATAAGGTCTGGCTATTGATATGGAACACCTTCTCCAAAGCCTAAATATGTTTAAAATCTAACCAGGAAAATGGCATTAAATGATAATAATAGAACCTCTGACTGGGATAGAAATGGTGAAAATTCCCCTTTAAGAAAAGGGTATATTATTAGTTTTATCAAGAGGAACAACACACCATGTCCAAGCAGTTTTCCATTAAAGCTGTGTTTAGTGTCTGTCCTGCTTTTTGCTGTGGACAACCTCCACTTCTGCAGTTACACTGAGATGATTCTTCTGGGTTGTGTAGACACCGTAAAGCTAGATTTGTCACCGATAGTTTCACATTATATTAATATTCCTAAGACATATACACTCACTGTGTATGCCAAAAATCAAACTCACAATTGATGTGGTGTATCATTATTATGTAATCATACTCTGTTGCTGAAGTTGCTGCCTTGAAGTTACTAATCAACAAAATTAATAAAGGAAAACTATATTCATTCCCCTCCTTCTACATACATACATAGTAACTATTTTGCCTAGTATAGTGGGCTTGGCTATGAGTCAATTCTAACCCTAGTAGAGAGGATAGGAATGTGCAAATATGTATTAGTTTATCTTCTGCAAAGTAAGTTGATGTTAAGAAGTGATCTAGGGGAAAAAAATCATCTGAACTAAGTATACTGTTGAGCTTGAAGATGAAGTAAGAAGAGAATTTCTTTTGAAAGAACATCTGGTTTCAGATTTTTACAACTTGTGTGAATAAAAAATCACCTTTGATGTTTGTTACAAAGGTGGGCATGTGAGTATGTGAATTCAGTCCTGATCCCATGCACTCAGAACTTAGATTATTCCAGTGGAGGTGGAGCCTGGGACTTCAGTTCTGAACACCAGTGATTTAAAAGGCCCTAGCTCATTAAGTATGGGACCATAGCTATAGGAACTGAAATAAAATTAATCTGCCATTTTAGTAACAGACTGAATCAGAATCCAAAAGGTGACCTTGCCACTATTAATGCAATACTGCAGAATTTGAAGTCAAAACCAAAAACATTGTAGATGATAACACATTTAGTTAAGAATAAAACATATTCTGTTCTCAGTGAGAATGTTGTTTAAATTTTCTAGGGCATAGAGCAAATTGTCCATGACATAGGAAGCAGCTATTTAGACATATGATGCTCTACATTTAAAAATCTGAAAAGGCTAGATTGGAGTCCCAGTTCTTCTGATAACCATTAACCTGGGCAATCCTCCTTTCCTCGGAGTAGAGTTGAAAGAATAAGATGGTGAGAGAAAGTGAGCATACTCAAAAGTTAAAGACTACAAAATGTAAGTAACCATGATTACTCCTAATGAGTGAGAGCACACTTGGAACACGCAGACCCTCAGTGCGATCCTGTGAATCTGGAGAGATGCAAGTCAACAGCACTGAGAAACTTCTCACTCTCCTGGAAGTATCATGTCTAGCACAGCAGAAGGGCCCGGCAAGACACACAAAGGCTACATGTCTGGGTGCCAGTCCTCTCCCTGCTCCATTCTGTGGGTTCTAGCCTGCCTTTCTCCTTGCTCTGCTCCGTCATCCACATTGCTACAACCATGGCATCTTCTAACTACTTTACCTTTGTAGAAAGTGGTAATGCAACCTGTCTGCCCAATTAAAACCATAACTGCAATTAGTAACCATAACCATTCATTCTCATTGTTAATACATTCAGAGATGACGTCTCATATGTTCCAGGATTTTTATACATTAAATAGCTAAAAGAAATTTTCATTTGAATTTGGATGATTAAAACAAAATTGGAAGGCTAGATTTTAGCTCTACAGAGCTTAAAATACAATTTAATTATATGAATATTAATATATTCGTATTATAAAACATTAATATTTGAAGAAAGTAGTATTGTCTCTCTATTGCTCCTTCCAGTATACATAGACTCCACTGTGGCTTTTAGTCTTGGTATTAATAAGAAAAGAACACTCTAGAAAATCTTATCTCCCACTATCCTGCTTTGTCCTAACAAATACTGTCTGCTCAGGTCTGGTCTCTCTCTCCCATACCCTTGCATTGTGAACCTTGCTTCTTCAGCCATTGTCTTCCCCCTCAAACACCTACTTCCTTGCTGTTGAGCAATGTACCCTTCAAAGCACAAATTAAATTCCAGTTTGAAACTGAATTCCTACTGTACTTAAAGTCAGTGACACACATTTTTTCCAATTATTCCTCATTTTCTTTAAATATTTCAACTTTCCTCATGAATATTAGGTTTTCCTAATAACTAAGATGGTAATTTTAAGTTACTTAAGAGACCTGTGCTCATTTCTCTGTAGATTCAGGGGGATGCGGCCTTGGTTCATTTGTCTCTTTGCTTTTTGACCCAAATCTCTCTATGTCACCCTTGATGTTCTGGAACTAGCTCTGTAGACCAGGCTTTCAAACACACAGAGATCCCTCTGTCTCTGCCTTCCCAGTGCTAGGATCAAAGGCATGCTAAGGCCATCACACTTAGATTTTGTTTTTCTTTTTGGAACATGGTCTCACTATAAAAACTCAGTGGACCTCAATTTGGTGATCCTCTTGCCTGGGATTCCTGTACGCTGGGATTTCAGGTATTTCCCATCATGTCTACATGATCCCAAACACACTTCAATGACGATCTCCTTTCTAAGCAAGCCTGGTCCACTGTGCTGTGTCCTCTCGTAACTGACTTAAACTGCAGGTTTCTCTTTATGCTTGTGATTAATAAAGAAATAGAAGTGAAGTATGTTATTAGGAAGAAGCTAAAAGCTGACTAACATTAGAAAAGGAGTCTTTATTTTTCAGTTATTAGGGATAGCTTACTGACAATGAAATATATGAAATTCAAAGGACAGTGATTTTTCTGGAAATGTCTGTACATGATAATAAATGTCAATGTTATTTATTATTCATCACTATAATGCATTATCAGTTATATATGCAATATGTAAGTAATTGCCTATTCCCAAAGGGAATGTTTTTATTGCTATTTTGAAATGGATGTAAAAATAAATACACTCAGTTATTTCAAAGTTAAGTTATTGACATCCAGCACAACTAACATATGAAATTACTCATCACATTTCCTTACTGTGCCCAGGCCTCTTCTCTTCAATGATTTATGTACAGATGAAAAGGCAATGGTTTCTTACACTCAGAGGTATCTCTGCAGAGGAGTAAAAGTACCCTGAGTTCTTCCATTCCAAAAGAACAATTCTCTCTGGGAGAATCTAGAGCTGACTTCACTGGTTTTAAAGCTGAAGTAGGAGGAGGAACTTAGTTCATTTTATTTAGCTCAACATTCTTTCCTTTTAGAGTCAGGGTTTAATCTGTGTAGCCCTGGCTGTCCTGGAACTCTATAGATCAGTCTGGCCTCGAACTCAGAGACCCATCTGCCTCTGCCTCTGCCTCCCCTGCGCCACCACTGCCCATCATAACTCAACCTTCTAAACAGAGATAATACGTGCGGCCCACAACCATTTTCCCGTCCTACGTGATTGTGGTCCAAGAGATGAACAGCTGCCCAAATATAAAAACAGCAACTTTTTAAACTGCCCCTCTCCTCTGCAATCACCTGAAAATCTGTCCAACCTTGGGGAAAATACAATGTTTTAACTCTGGCTGCCAAGCTGCTTTCTTCGTCTGCGTCTAATGCCTTAGCTGTCCACCGACCTTCAAACTCCAGTTTTAATTATGTACCCCTAAAGGGGGGGGATTAATTACAAGTTAATAATCTAATATATTTCTGATTTTACTTATGTTTAGAAATATGAAACTGAATTGAACAGTCGCTTTTGTATTAAGCTTGATTTTCTTTTAAAAGTTTAAATCCTATCTTTTCTGTTTATCATATTTATATTTTTTAAAAACATGCAGTCATAAGTGCATGCACACATAGGACTATGATGTTCCTAGCTTCATTAGCATATTATATGCAAAGCATCCAAAGGCTCCAGTTGGATAGCTGACTTCTCTTATCTGTATTTTCCACTGAGTAATTTCTGAAGTAAAGGCCTAAGTGTGCCATTAAGCTTAAGGTAAAATTCAAGTTCATTTTCTTCCTCAAAATCTTCCCATTAATGAAAGTAATGTGCAACGTCTAATTTAATTTTTAAAAGCCATAAAAAAAGTTGCATTCATTTTAATAATTTTAATGCCAATCGTTCATACTATAGAAAATGCTCAAATATGGATTACAACAGCCTACCAGATAAAAGAATCTGCTTGATGTGTTGCTATTAAACAATGATAAATGAATATATGCTGCAAGTTGATGCTGCTTAGCCTAAAAGAAAGGAAAAGGTGAAATAAACCATATTCTTTAAATGCTATGGGCTGGGTTTCACTTAATGACTTCAGAATGTCCTGTAGTGTTCTACTAAGAAAGCTAAAGTGGGGAGGGGAGACGGCTCAGTCAGTAAAATGCTTGCTCCAAAAGTATGAGGACCTGAGTTCAATTCCCAGCACACACACAAGCAGACAGCCATGGTAGCGCCCGTTTGTAATCCCATTTCTGGGGAGGTGAAACAAGGGATCTCTGGAGCTCTCTGAACAGAGAGCCTAGACAAGCCCAGGTCCTTAGGAGAGACCCTGTCTCAAAAATCAAGGTGGACAGGTCTTAAGGAAATGATCTCTGGCATCTATACACATCCATATATTCGTGTGCACATGTACATGTGCTCCTTTACACACACACACACACACACACACACACACACACACACACACACACACATGCAGGCACACACGCACACACATATATATGTATATTTGGTTGTTTGGTTGGTTTTGTTTGTTTGTTTGTTGAAGCCGGGTTTCTCTGTGTAGCCCCGGCTGTCCTGGAACTCACTCTGTAGACCAGGCTGGCCTTGAACTCAGAGATCTACCTGCCTCTGCCTCCTGAGTGCT